CAGGCTGTCGCGGAGCGTTCCACCTCCTCTGTCCGGGGCTGGTGTGGTGTGAGGCGGACAGCTCAACCAGGCTGTCACGTTCTCTCGTCCTGGCCACACCTCCGCTCTCTAACCTCCCCCTCCACTACCCACACCCCCTCCCCTACCCACTTTGATGCATTTTTCAAATTTCGCCTTGGGGCGGAGTTATCTTTTCACAGGGGTAAGATACACTTTAAATTACACAAGTGTGTTCAGGTTTGTAAACTCARTATGTGAAGGTTTTGATGTTAGACAGAATGGAAGAAAAGAACAAAAACACTGACTCAGAGGACCAGAAGCTCAGATATAATTTTTAAAGTCCTAATTGGACAAACATTGGTCAAAACGTTGACTGGAGGGAGCAGTGGCACAGACGTTAGAGAAGGTTGTCGGATCAACTCCCTGGACTGACTCTTCTACGGGGTCCGTTCAGTGACACTGGATAAAAAATTAACTCGTGGTCACGCGGTAGTTAACGTGTGGCCAGAGACTGAACAAGTCAAAATTAATTTCACTTGACTTTAATATAGGAATGAAGACATACTTCAGTCTCTTACTTCTTTGGAGTAGTGACAGATTCATATTAAAGAAAAAGAGTAAAAAACATTTCAGCTTTTTATAACTCTTTGGGGGAATGTGGAGAGGAATCAACATTGCATCTAAAAAAGAAATAGGAAACAGAACTGAGGATTAACATACCAGATGAACAACGGTTCCAGATTTCTGCATTACAAGAATGTTGGAGGTTATGTGGGACATAGAAGCCAATCATTCACATATTTTTTGGAGCTGTACAAAAATAACTAGATATTGGGAACAAGTAGGATCAACATTGAATAAATTCTAGGCTACACATTTCCAAATACTTGCCTAGTTATGTTTTATGGGACTATAATGGATGTGGTGAGGAAAGGAGACGTGTTTCTGACTAATTTAATCCTGGCTGCAATAAAAAGGCAAAAACAAAAAGTTGGTTGAAAAATTTTTTCTATAGTTTTTTTTATTAGCACAAAGAGCATGAGTTAAAATTTTTGCTGGTAAAATTTTATTTTAAAATATGGTAAAGAAGTTGGTAATAAAAAACTGTATTTTAAATAAACGTTACAAATGTGTTCATTCCTACAAAGCTGTCAAATGTTTTTATAATTTTATTTTTTATATTTACAAAATACATAAAATTATAAATGTTACTAATTGAGATTAAATAATGTTTTATGTAATTTTTGCTGCAATGAGACGTAAAATAAAATGCAGTTACAAGTACTGATATTGGAGCAAAATCCAATTACTAATGTTTTTATTTATTTTTATGTATTTTTTTTAATAATAGTGCATTTTGTGAAGTTCTAACATGAAAAAAACAACTGAAGGCATGTGACATAAAACATTTCACCATAACAGGGCAGCACGTGGTCACGCAAACATGCAACATCTGTAGACTAGACCGTCTCATTTCACAGCCGTCTGTGCAGCCTACACTGGCAGCCTATGTAGGGTGTGGCCAATGTGGGCTGCAACCTCTGTGGGACACATCATCTTGTGGCCGTGCATTAACTTTTTATCCAATGCCATCGGACAGGCTCCGTACTCTTCAGGTAAAAAAAACGTGAGGAAAGAAACAAACAAAAAAAATTAAAAAACAATTCCCAGTACCTGACACCTTTCTTAGAATTTAAATCTGAATTAGTTGTGATTCTCAGCTGCGTTTAAGACAAACTGGACAGCAGCTTTCAGCAAACCGCACTGTGCTTTAAGTTTTTCTTTCTGATCTGCGAACTGATCAGTTGTAGGTAATTAACTAATCAATGCCTGAAAGTAAAATGCTYGTTGTTGCTGGATGGAGGTTTTAAATCGGAGTTGACGGTGAAACCACAACCAACACATTAGGCCCAGCACCCAAACCCCCTTTCCATAAAGCCAATTACAAAATGTAGCGCCCAGTTTGTGTCGGCGAGGATGCTGCACAGGTTAGGGGTGCAGCAGGCTGCCAAACGCCTGCAAGTGTGATGAGAGGACAGCGGATGAGGAAGGTGAGGTGGAAGGCAGGCCGAACTCCACCTGAGTCCCACCGCCTGCTGGATCACAGTCAGAGCCCTCAGAGACAAAAGGTCCACCTCGCATGTGGAGCTGGTACAAGCAGGAGTTCAGGAGGCCGTAGTCGTGGTGGTGACGGGGCGGCGAGGCCCAGTCAGGGCTCTGTGCCGATGACTGGTACTGGAGCCGGGCTGGACCGCTGTCAGAGCCGGGATCCTGCGGGTCGTCCACGGGCCGGAGAGAGAACGGACACTCAAAGAGCTGCTGAGGGCACTCGTCACCACACAGCTCTGACAGACTCATCAGCAGCTCACCGTCTGCGCAAACAGGAGAGTTCACAATGACATCATGTACAGTACCTGTTCACAATGACATCATGTACAGTACCTGTTCAATGACATCATGTACAGTACCTGTTCAATGACATCATGTACAGTACCTGTTCAATGACATCATGTACAGTACCTGTTCACAATGACATCATGTACAGTACCTGTTCAATGACATCATGTACAGTACCTGTTCCAAGTTCTACTGAAGATCCTCCCAAGATCAGTCCAATCAAATTAATGTTAGAAACCAGAAATATGGGCTTTTCTTAGATCCATTCTATGTTGGGACTGAGTTGGCCACTAAATGTGTATATATGTATATGTATGTATATATTTTATTATTAAATTCTACTCATAAAACTTACTGAGTACTAGTCAGTGAGGCTATCATTATTGTCAGAGTTGCACATAAGTGGTGCGCAGGTGCACATGCACGGTCAAAAAAAGAAAAAGCGCACCAGATGGAATG